CTTTTGGTGCTTCCTGCATCATTCAATATTTTACCCAGAGAATCTTTCAATATTGCAACTTGAGGCTTAAAATTTTTCCTCAATTGAGAAATGCTGAGTGTGTTCTTCCCTTTTGGTTTTCTAACTCCAGATCTTTGCACATTTCATTATAGTAATTGGCTCTGTCTGCTCAAGCTGCCCTTTGAAATCTTCCGTTCAGCTCTTTCATCTTGTGACTTCTTCCAGTTGCTTTAGCTACTCTCTGCTCAAGGGCAAGTTTGAGTCTCTTCTGACATCCATTTTGGTCTTTTCTTCCTTTCTTGTCTTTTTAATGATCTCTTGCTTTCCTTGTGGATGATGTTCTTAATGTCACCCCACAATTCTTCTGGTTTGCAGTCATTGGTGTTCAATGTGTCAAATCTATTCTATAAATGGTCTCTAAATTCAGATGGGATATTATGAAGGTCATATTTTGGCTCTTGTGGACTTGTTTTAATTGTCTTCAACTTCAAGTTGAACTTGCATAGGAGCAGTTGATGGTCTGTTCTACAATCAGCTCCTGGTCTTGTTTTGGCTGAAGATACTGAGCTTCTCCATCACCTCTTGTCACAAATGTAGTCAATCTGATTCCTGTGTGTTTGATCTGGTGAATTCCATGTGTATAGTGGTCACTTATGTTGCCCACCTACATCAGGCCCCAGCCTTAATAAAGAGTGCCCCCAAGTAAAAACCAGCTCCCAGCCCTGGGCCCGCCTACCTCAGGTCCCAGCCTTAATATAGATCCATGCCCAAGGGGAAAACAGTCCTAAGCCCCAGACACCTAGTTTGTGATGTATTGTAAATCCTATTCTCTATGCCTGTTTAGGGTGGGATGTATGCTGAGTCCCACCTTGCTGGAGGATGTGACTCAAATCACCCCCCTTAGCTTCCAGGAGGAATGTTCTCTCTCTCTTGCGCTGGTTCTGCATTTGGTTCATCATTATCTCACCCCTGGACTTGAGATAGCACCTATCATCTGACCTGCCGATTTTGGTTCACCAACCCTTGCAACCACCTGAGTTGGGAGAATCCTCCAGACCTACCTACAGACCTGGGACTTGCCAACCTGCCAACCTCCCAGCCTCTACCACCATGTGAGCCATTTCCTTGGGTGTTTGTGTGTTCTGTGAGATGTTACAGTGAACTATGGAACCCTAAGACAGGAAGGAGATTACTGAGGGGAAGAGGAGAAGCTGATGTCAGAGATAATGGAGTGACATGGCAGTTTGGAAAAGTTGGACATCTGGGACATCTTTAACCTCCTCATCATAGGGACTGGCCTTGTGCTCTGTCCAAAAGAAATTATTCAAGCATCCTCTATCACATTTTTCTCATTATTCTTCAGCCTCAGCAAAAGAGGGCCTTTGCTATTCCTCCAAATAATTGCTCAGATGCCATGTTCTCAATGAGGCCTACCCTAACAACATATTACAGAGTGTAAATCACCATCAAAAATCACCCACATGCTCAATCCCCCTTGCCCTGCTCTACATATTTTCATAGCACTATCACTTTATAATAGGAGCTCTGGTAGCATAGTGGCTAAGGCACTTGACTGCTAACCAGAAGGCTGGCGGTTCAAACCCACCAGCCACTCCTCGGAAGGAAGGTTGGGCATTCCTACTTCCATAGTGATACTGCCTCGGAAACCCAAGGAGGGGTCGCTATGAGTCGGGGCCGACTCGATGGCAAACAACAACAACAACAACATCACTTTATAATATAACTTACCCATTTGCAATGTAAATTGCTTATTATCTGTCTTCCTCAACTAGAATGTAAATTCTACAAGGACAGGGATTCTGTCTGTTTTCCTCAGTGTGCACAAAACAATATGTCATGAGTTGAATTGGGTTTCCCTACAATATGTGCTGGGATCCTAACCCCTATAATCTGTTGATGTAATCTTGTTTGGGAAGATGGTTTTCTTTGTCATGGTAATGAGGTCACACCAGTGCAGGGTTCATCCTAAACCTACTTACTTCCAGGTTATAAAATGGCAGATTAAACGTAGACAGGCACATACACTGGGGAAGCAGACACCAAGTAAAGATCACCAAGGAACCAAGAAATGCCTAGAGCTACTGACAAGGGAGGGATCCACACAGCCAAGACCCTGGTGCAGACTTCTAGCCTCCAGAACTGTGAGAAAATAAGTCTCTGTTCTTGAAAGCCACCTACTTGTGGTATCTGTTTTATAGCAGCACAAGGAAACTAAGACAGTGGTTGACTAATTACTGTATCTCTAAAAAAATTGATTAGTTGTTATTAGAAGGGGCATTTGTGATCCAGAATTAACGGACTCTGACTATCCATTGAAATTCAAAAAAAAAAAAAACATTATCATTAAGTAGAGTCTGACCCATGTGTATTACAGACTACTGCCCCACAGGGTGTTCTTAGCTGTAATCTTTACAGAAGCAGATCACCAGACCTTTCTTCTGAGGTACTGCAAAGTGGGCTTCAACCACCAACTTTTAGATTAATAGTCAAGTATAAACCATTCAGGGAATTCTGGTGGTGTAGTGCCTAAGAAAATTTAAAATTCTGTTTAATAGACATACTGACCCATTCATTTGACTGCTATCCAAAAGACTGGAGGTTCAAACACACCAGCTACTCCTCAGAAGGAAGACTGGGCGATCTACTTCCATAGTGATACCACCTTGGGTGCCCCACATGGACCTCTGGTGAAATTCACTTGTTATATAACATTGAATTATGTCAGTATTTTGCTCATATGTTATAATTTTTATTAAATAAGCAAAGCTGTCTTTGCTTATTAGACTAGTCTACTATTCAAGGTAATACCAATATTAATAATTGTTAAACATAAGAAATAACTTTAAAACCCTGTGTAAGTACAATTGCTTTTTAAGCAGCTGCTGGCTGCTGATGCTGACAAACCCAAGATCAACAAGCAAAACTGCACAGTCTCCATATTACCAAACCACTCAGCAGGCCATTGATTCAAGTCCATTAAGAGTCACAAGATCACCAGACAACATGGCAGGCTACTGAACAACAACTTGGCTACATGAAGGATTCAAGCATGCCAAAAGCTACAGACCATTCCCAAAGTTTCTCCTTATATACTGGGAGCAGACCACATCCCTAAGGCAGCTACTCAGACACTCACAGTAGAGTCCACCATGGAGTTGATTACCAGTGTCATCATGGGGAGTAACTACATCCAGCTGTGCAGCCACTCAACCAGGCCCAGCCAAGTTGACACGTAACTTTAACTACCTGCCAAAGCATTGGTCATTTTCTTGCTCTAAAAGTACTGTACCTAAAAATATGTATTTCATTTTTTGTTGCTCTAAAACACATTAGTGGGGAAACTGACAAATTCTGAATAAATCCAATAGGTTAAACAATGATATAGTAGCAATATCAGTTTCCTGATACTGATGTCTGCATTGTGAATATAAAAGAGCATGTCCTTGGGCTCCAGAAGTGCACACCAAAGTATGCACAGGTAAAGGCACATCATGTCTGCAACTTAGAGTTCAGAAAAATGACAATATGAAGAAGAAGAGAGAGGATACCACAAAGGTGGCAAGATGTTAACATTTGGGGAATCCGGTGAACTG